AGAGATAAGATCTTCGGCTTGAACGCCTTGACCAAAAGCGAGACCTCCCGGGTCAGGGCCTTGCAGCCGAATTATAATGTCGACACCACCGAGTTGTATATTTCTGTGGCAAAAGAGATTCTGAAATATTCCACAGATCTTAACTTATTCTCTGTCCCGCGACGTCTTTCTGGCAATGGTCCTAGGAATTTACCATCTTGGGTACCTGATTGGACCAACACTCGACTCACTGCGCCTTTGGGTCTAGCAAATTATTCCGACATCAACGAAATCGCCTTTTCCGCTAGCGGGTCATCAACGCCTCAAATCGAGTACGGTGGCGTTAGCTTGGCCTCTCTCGGCGTTCATGGCCGCTGCGTGGATCGTATCGCTGCTGTTGGCACGGTCCTCAGATTGGAATATCTTCCGCGAACGGATTATCATGGTGTTCGTTTACCGAAGTGTGCATTTGTTTTAGATGATTGGGCTCGCGTCGCCGGGCTTGGGAAAATGGAGTCCTATGTTACCGGCGAGCCAATGCGTGATGCGTTTGTGCAGACACTTGCGACAGAATCAACTAATGAAAGCATCGAGACGCTGCGCCAACAGCTAGATATCCTGGAAAGAAACGCCACAATAGTTAAATGGCTTGGTTTCCTACCTAGGCATCTCCCGGATTGGTTGGCGGACAAAGCTGTCTATTTAGCCCATGCTGTGCTCTTCTACCGTCGGAATGACCAAATGACTTTGGACTTCAGAATCAACCTTTCATCATTAGCCGATCGCCGAGTATTCGGGACCGACAAAGGCTATATCGGTCTGGGATCTGCTTTGGTGGAAGCTGGCGATGAGATCGCGGTTGTAAAGGGGGCAAAAGTACCTCTTGTTCTCAGGGCGAATGAGTCGCAATGGACATTACAAGGCGACTGCTTCGTAAAGGGTATCATGAAAGGTGAGGCGTACCGCGAAGACGAAACCTCTCAGATGTGGATTGTCTGAAGTTTTCGTCTATTCGACTGGGCCTCTTGAGCCGACCAGTTCGCCTGGTTCCACCACATGCTAGACAGATATTCCACTGTATGTTTTGAAAGAATTTGCGATTGTTTTCTAAGGTATATTGGTAGAAGATGCATCGATTGCTATCAATCTGGGCCATCACTGGCATAAATTATCATTTTTACTCTGAGATATACTACGTACAATAACCTATCTTTTTTTGTTCTTGGACATTATTGATCTTCCAATCATACAACGAAACACCAGTCCCCACCATCGTCAAGTTCCGGATCTTCACTATATTTTAGCCTATCTTGGCAGATCTTGATAGCTTAATAGCTACCACACCTTACGAGTCCCCATGACGTCGAATCTCCGATTTCATCGAGCATTTTCTGTCTCATCATGAATGTCATCATCTACCAGCCTCGCGGCGGTAGACGATACGTGAGTTAGGTCATTAAAATTAAGGAAGATTGGCACGATCTTACTGCCTGAAACGTCTGCCAAGATAACACTTCAGCCGTGGCGCCTCTGCGTAACCCACGATAATTGTGACTCTACCCCTCTTGCCAGGCTGCCAGGCAGCTCCTATGAAATTTTCTTCATTTATAATGACTATTGTGCTTTACACAGAAGGGATGTCTTTTGATACTCTATAAAACTCAAACGCTTTTGCAATATTCCTCCTGATACTATGTATCTTACTAGAAAAATCCTACTACGACGTCAGCTGTACCATACTCGGCATGTAACCGGCAATCGTCAGAACACATAACTTCGGAGCAGAGATCGTGACCCTCTTAATCCATCAGGTGAAAATCATGAAATATCGAGTTACCAGTTTTTCAGGGGGAAAATATCTGTGTTCCTAGCTAAAACACCTCCTTTGTCAGGGCGCTGTCTCAACCCCTGCCGTCGTCGGACCCCGGCCCCGGCCACCCTTCCCGAGCGAGCGTTTGAGCCTCTCCAATGCAACGTAAAATAAGCTACTCCTCGGGCGACCCCTGTCGCCATCGCGAACAGCAACGGCAAGACTGGCTAGACTGGACGGGATGTCAAGCTTCAACCTGCATAAAACTTCCCGTCAATGTTAAATCCGCGTCTCTGCAATACATAGTGCGTATACTAGGAAGCCTAGATTAGATATTTTGTAAGAGAGAGGGACCTGAATTAAGTTGGGACCCCAGTCGAAACAAGCCTCAGAACTCGCGAAAATTCCTTTTTCGCCATACCTGGTACAACACGCTTGACGATGATTCTCGATCTGGTACCGCGTGGTAATGGTTCCATACCTAGCCTATTGCAGGCAGTCTACCACATATCGAGCATCCCCTTTCCGCCCGTTTTTTTCGTCCTCCTCTCTGTAAGACTAACCTGGTGTTTCCCTTTCTCGATGGCCTCAACTCCTAAGCGCCACGTTGGTTCCCCGTGATGCTTGTCTGCTTGTTTCGAGACTTTGCTGTCGTTCTCTTTCTCTCCATTCTTTAGAGTGCATACGCGCCTAATTCTATCGACGGGTCTGTTTCGAGGAAACGACCTTGTATAATTCTCTCTCTTTTCATAATATCACCAGCCTATCCTCGACTGAACAAGTCTGGAGTAAAGCGAAGTATTCGCCACGTTCTCTTTCGATTCTTAGGGTTGATCCCATTTAGAAACGGCTGGTCTGTTCACTTCGTTCTTTTACGTTCTCATATATACTCGGATCAATCTTCGACAAGTGCATCGCGAGAGCAAGTGAGAGGTTGTTAGTAGATCTCACATCCTAAGGATGAGGGCGCCGCACCCAGCGTTCTTGTTATGCGTACTGAGCTCCTTGTCGCTCGTACAGGTATGTACTACCTTATACCTTTCGACCATACCATGGCGACGAAAATACTCACCTACTCACTTACTCATAGGCCGCCACGTATCACTACTATGACCCACCCGTCAAGAGAGGGCTGTTGGACTCGCTCCTCGGCAGCCTTGGTGGTGGCAACAACAACGACGCAAATGGACAGGCCCACAAGAAAGGACAAGGACAGAATGGCGCCGTCACCGTCACCGAGACAGTGAAGCAGACAGTCACGGTAGGAGCCGGTGGATTCAACGGCACGGCGGCGGCGGCGGCGGTCCAGACAGTAACAGTCACTCACACCGCCAAAGGCGCAGACGGAGGCGGGAAAGCAGCGTACGCACCTATTCCCAACCCGTCGTGATGGGGCTTTTCCAGTCAGAGCTAACGATGTTAACAGGGCGCAATTATCCTTCGTAACGACCACCGTCCAAGGGACCGGCAAGGCAGAGACCGTGACCCTGACGGCGCTCGCCTCGACCGTCACGCAGGTCTCCACCATGATGCAGGCGACCACGGTCATGCAGGTGTCGACGGTCACCATGGTGCAGATGATCGCGTGCGGGACGACCGCCGCCGCGGTACCTGCCAGTCAGGCCTCCGCCGCCGCGTCGTCTGCCGCCGCAGTCGCTTCCTCGGATGCCGCCGCCGCGCAGTCCTCGGCCGCAGCAGCGAGCTCCGCGGTGGTAGTAGCGAGCTCCGCGGTGGTGGTAGCGCCGTCTTCGGCTGCCGCCGCGACGAGTTCGAGCGTCGTCGTGGCTCCAACAACGGCGTCTACCTCCGCGGCCGCCGCTACTTCAAGCGTCGTGGTCGCCCCCGTGTCATCATCATCATCGTCGTCGGCCGTCGTAGTAGCACCCACGACATCCGCCGCCGCTTCCGCCGAAAGCTCACTCGCCCTGCCCGTGCAATCCCCGTCGTCGTCCTCCTCCGCCGCCCAGGCGATCGCTGTCAGCAGCCCCCAGGCCGCGCAGTCCTCGCTCTCGCTCCCCGTGGAGACCCCACCCGCGGCCCCGGCCGCGGCGAACAACGCCGCCCCCGCCGTCACCGCGACTTCCTTCTCCGGCGCCAACGAGGGGCCCTCGATCAACCTCAGCGGGCTGCCGCTCACGAACGCTTTGACTCTGGGCGCGCTCGGTTAAATTTAGAAACAGGCTTGGCGGGTATATAGTCGAGGGGGGTTTTCTTTTCGGGCTGTAAAAAATAATCATCATCCTTTTTATTTATCAGGCGTGTTTTTGTCTTCTTCTTTCGTAACTCATATATATATACGTCCATAGGAGGTATCGTGATTTTTAAGTAAAGCCCTCCGTCCTTGGTTGTTGGGCTGGGGTGATACGTTTTTTTTTACCACGGAACGCTGCCAGGAGCATTGCACACATGTCAAATAAATGTATATAATAATATCTTGTTCGCTTCTTGAGATCTCGTTGGGGGATAATAATGAGTAAGAAAATAATTTAATTGAGTCGAGGCTGGCCTTGATTGAGTGGTGTCCGGGCACGGTGTGTTCGTATGTAAATCATGATGACTTGCCATATTATCTGACATAGGGGTGCCTAGCTTTACAGGACATCCCCCATACAGAATATTGTAGGTATCACTTTTTCCTGGTGAGGTCAACCCTCAAAAGCGGCCCATCATCGACTTTGCTGTTGCCTTATCCTCTGAAGTCACCGGCAGCTTGCATTAGAACTAGGTAAAGAAATATCTAGAAGGCCGAGACACCTCGGGGGTTCAGTCAATAGTCAGTCTATGAGCATATAGACAAGGAGAGTGCTAATTAACACTATTCAATTTTTGGCGTATACGCGATTTAACAAACAAACTTTTGGCGTTTTAGGACTTGTAAACCTTCCAGGTAAGAAGAACCTTAAAGTTGAATGTTAAAGTTCATCATCAACTTTGCTTCCCGGTGTCGTTACCCAGAAACCGCAGACTGCAGACTGCAGCTGAGGTTGAGTAGCATGTTCAGCCAATGATATTTTATTGCGCTGTTAGATTTGCGAACAGGTGGGGCAATTCAGCCCACTTAAGCAAACACAACGAAATCTACACTAGAATGTTCCGCAGTGCGCCCGGCGCCCGAACTACGGATATTAGTCGCAATTCCGGCTTGATTGAACATCGAATGAGTCCCATTCGTCAATCAAAGGTCCCTTGAGCTTACGGGGAACACTTTACAGGTGGCGTGACCGAGTGGTTATGGTGCTGCGTTCAGGTCTACCTGAATCAACTTCGCAGTGGAGCAATCCGCGTGGGTTCGAGTCCCACCGCCATCATTTTTCTTTTTGCAATATTTATTTATGCTTTAATGCATTCTCTCTTCTGGTCTCTTTCTTATCTTTTGATGCTGAAGAATCATTGAAAAATCTACCGATCCAAATTGTGTGAGAGTCACGTGGCATTCATACGACTTCCGGGGAAAGACCGAACAAGATCGGACATGATGACATAAGCTAAATTAGCAAGAGATTTCAGCTTAGGTTACTTCCAGTTTGTTATCTCACCTACCTCAGGGGCACTTTTTGGAAACGATTATTATATGCTTCTAAGGGCATCGTCATGTTATCTCCCGACACACACGCAAATAATGATTTTCCTTCAATATGAAGCAAATACCCCGTGCCGAGACCCATGAAGTGAAATATGCCCCTGAATGAACCCGCTTCGCCTGAGGGTATCCTTGCGAGGAGCGAGTAAAGGTCTCAAGAACGTGATCTCCCCCATAGTCACCCGGTTCTAACTCGATTCTAGAGAGCGATGACGACCGAATGGCTCTGGTTATGCCATAAGGCACCTAAACGGGAAAATCAAGAAAGTTACATCGAGCAAGCGTCTATACCTAATTTAATCTCATTTTGGGATTATCAGAAACTAAGTATGGTCAGACAAGTTACGAGACCAAGTTTGTACTTAAGGTACTATGTAGGTAATACTCAAAATAGTTCTTCCAAGATATAAATCTAAGTGATCTTATTCAAAGTCTTAAAACGGAATGTGATGAATGCTTATAGAGTGAAAATTTACCGCTCCTGAGCTTGTGTCACTGATGGGGTAGTATTTCAAAGGCTGATAGCTCTCTTACCCAGGCCATCTAAGTGGTTCAGAGACGCCTTTTTACGATTACTTACCCGGGTAGGTACCTAAATTAATATGATAGGGATGTATAGGCGAACTTGTGCATATAATGTGTGTGGTTAGCTACCTAGGTATATACTTTACATACCTCGGTAAGTTATATAGTAAGTATGGGGGCATGCGTATGTGCACCTCACTTGTGTGCAGTGGACCAGGCCTAGTTCTGTCCTCCTCAACTCCAGTCGAAAAGCAAACTTATTCCCACTACATAGCATGCCTGTTCGTTCTCAATATAGGGCTTCATAGTAGCGGCTTTGATTAAACGCTAGCCTACTCCCCCTATCAGCATGCTAGGGGGTAGGAACCTCTCATATCCCAATATCTAACGATAACCACGCGCACAGTTATAGATAGGACGCATGAAGACGCGACAGCAACGTAGTGCACTCAAAAGTAGAGCAGTATATAATTTCCTAGTCAACAGCAGGTTATTCCATTTGGAATAATCCAAATGGAACGTGTCCTTCGGGCACAACGAACAGACTTTACCACCGGCAGCCTCACCTAGCCGATGAAAGCCATCCTCAACGACTAATTCCCAGCGCTACCAGATACCGGCTACGCGGTGCATCCATCCTGGCCTTGTGGATGAGGTGGTGGTTTTCTGGACTGTAGGTTTGTGTCCGGGTGTTGATTAATGACCGCTTAGCTTCCCAACCACGGCGGGTGGGAGAACCCTATTTCGACGAGCAAGTGATCATCCGTACCACGGCGGGTCGCTTCATCTAGCTGCTGCCCGTCTGGTTCAAGTAGGCAGGTGAGCGAGCGGTGGATCAGGCATGCGACGAGCGCGAGCAAGTTAATCGCCTCCCCGTTCCCTTGCTTCTGGGCAGAGGCGTGGGTGATGCCTTTACATTAAACCCCAGGAGACCCGACGGGAGGTTATCGTCGATTTCGCTGGGAGTGAAGGGTTGTAGCCCATGTCCGAACATCTTCTGGTTCCCGAGGGAGTTGTTCCTAAGAGCAGCGATGGGCGTCCTATTTTTAACAATTTGCTTCTGTTCGTTGTATCCATATCACAGTAGCCATACGAGCCGTGCTTACTAGTACCTGGTCGGCGTATTTTCTCACTGTCGGTAAGAATCTTATGTCCATGATATCTAGGAGTAGACGTATGCTGCTTGAATAACTACCTAGGTAGACACGCAAGGCATGGTGACGACGTCGTCGACGACCGCATCGTTAGTTACGTAAAGATTCCAAACGATGGAATTGTATTACGGAAGCACAGAAAGCTCTTCCATTAAAATGGTCTCCCATGGTAATGGAAAGCCGTTAAAGAGGGTAGCCAATCCGCCTGTGGGTCAGGCATAGTAAGCTTAGAGCTCCCTCTAACGAACAAGGAGTGAGATAGCATCCCAGCAGCGGTTTACCGCCTCGCGACAATTGCCGAGACGCCACAAAACCCGAGCGACTATCTTGTCCTTTCTCCTTACTTAGGTAGTCTTTTGGTGAAACCAAGAACTCTCCTGGTCTGGAACCACCTGACGTAGGAACTAGAAGGATGGAGATCTAACAAAAAGGATCCTACTTACCTATCTAAGTATCTATACGCAGCGAAGTCGCAATTTTCATTGTCCATCAATACTTATTATAGTAACAATATGAAGTTGATTTAGAGTTTCTGTAAACTCCATGATATATAGCCTCACATAACGATGTAGATGCGATTGTTGTAGCCTTAGGTGTAAGATGTAGTAGAAGTCGTAGTCTTTGAAGATGTTTTCACCGCCAAGGTAACCCTTGGTTAAAAACAACACAGAACACAAATCACGGGTTTTGCTTCGTTCCCCTTGCGTCGACGTTTGATCCGAGGCTGGCCAGCCTGGAGCCAGTTCGTTAGCTGATAGATATAATATATACGTACAGTATATATTTTGTCATAAATTCAAATCGCTGGGACCCTGGATGGCTATCGTGGATCAACCTTCCATTCGGAAAAGGCTTCATTACGAATGAAAACCCCCATTCTAGTGGTCCGACTTTTACGGCCGTGAGCCTTCTTCGTATCAAATAGGGGTAGGCGTGTGTATCTATGAGGAGCCAGTCAGCAGCAAGACCCGGCAGCGCCTTGTCATCATTCCGTCGATACGGCTCGGGTTCGCCTTTGGAACTTTATCTTTAGTAGCCAATAACGGGAAAGGCAAGCCCTCCCTCATGAAGGTTCAGCGCCTTAGCTCAATAGCCTATAGGAATATCTTTTCTATAGATATCTTAGTCTAGATGCTTAGTATAGGTGTTTGCTTTAGTCATCTGCGCAAACAATGAGGTCGTCACGCCCTAGCCTAGGGGATAGGAAAAGGCAATATAAAGAAGTGAGTATTTAGAATGTGTAAACCTTCGAACCCGTTTAGGTACCTACCAAGGTACCTAGGTAGGTGGTGATCCTATATGCATACCTGGTTACCTTATCATATGTACGCCTATGTAAAGGCAGAAATAGTTGGTAGCGCCTATTACCTCACCTGTAGGCCTAGCGCACATTGTAGTATTAATTGCCCTGCGTCTTTGCGGCGAGGATAGTAAAAGCTGTGTTGCCATTGGACGATGTAGCCACTGGCGTCCATCGCATGGGTCGATTGGCTGCCGACGTCCTCGGGATCAGAATATACCGATATGAGTACACACAACTGTTTCGTTCAGCGCTCCATATCCCAGGGTGTGTTGCCCAAATCCATCTCATAACTTAATGGCGTGGGGAGGCGTTGGAATACAATGCCTACGTACGTAACTCGGACGCTTTTTAAGGCTGCAGACATGATCCTATGTGTAACGGCGGCCTGCCCGATGCCGAGTATGACAATACATCTGAGGGTAGGACCTAGGTACCGAGGTTAGTAACGATATTGGAATTCGTTAGTAAATTGCCAGTTCTCGTCGATCCTCAACAAGTGTCTGTTTGCAAGACCGAGCCTTCTCTTTGAATAATATACTGCATAGATCGTATTGTTATTTGCCAAGTGTTCACGGACAGCAAGAGGGAAAGAGAGCATCTGATAAAAAACCCATACTCCATTCTCTGTAGGAAGAAACAAGCGGAAGGATGCCGCTGACCGTGATGCGGTATTTGCCGTCGAAAGGCCCAAGCCAACGAATGGATCTTGGTAGTTGGCAATACTAAATAGGTGAAAGTTCAAAGAGATCCAATGGATCTATTCAGTCGAGATTTATTAGGTAAAACTGGGGGATATAAATGAAGTACCTTGGTATACCTAACTTTAAGACCAGTACGTGACGGGATATTCCAAATCTCGACCACAGGAAGGAGCAAAAGGTACATCCGATGCGATTGGTACAATTGATTGCCATCTTATAGTACTTTTGAATGCACCTTCTATTCTAATAAATACCTACATTGCCTTGAGTATATTACATGTACCTCTCAGTTGCGTACCCAGGTACCCATGTACAGAGCTAATATCAGGTGATTGAAGATCGCAAAGTCTCGCTTCAATTTCTAAATAGTGTACTTTTCATCTTTCATCTGCAAAGCTGCATAAAATTAATCTAAAACTCGACGACAGGCTACAAAAAAGAGCCTCCCAAGATCCGGAAAAATTATCGACCTAAAACTAAAAACAATAAAGACGAGTCCCAAAATGGAAGAAGCTTGGGCGTTGACCTCGCGTGGAGTCTCCACGCTTGCTGTCACGCTATTGTTCCTTCGTGGTATCATGGGGTATCGTCGCATCGTGGAGGCTTTAGCTTTAGCTTTAGGGGAGGACTGGGACCGTCGAGCGATCATTTGAGGGTTTTCCCCGCAAAAAGGGGCCTCCTGTGATCCCCCGGCTACTGCTGTTGGCTGGTTCCTTTTTTAACTATTTCGTACGAATGAACCATGCTTAGCCTTTTGAACATACTAGTAAGTCGAGAACAACGATTCGAACTTCACCGCGTAAGGGACCCCTGAAGAAACCTGTCAACCATAATTCATCACATCGACGGTTGTCAATCTCCCCCAGGTGCCTAGTCTTAATGGAGAGAATCTGCGGGAATCACCGCCATTTCTATTTCTCTCATCTAGCATTACCCCATGGCTTCTTATGACGCTAGGGAACTGCAGCTTTGTCGCTTATTATTATCTAATTTAGTCAGATCACCGACGTCTAGCACACGCCTCCTTCATGCTGTGTCACAACCA